TAAGACCATGCACAAATGGTCACATGTAATTATGTCAATCAATCAACTAATCAATCAATAGTGCGAATTATTTAGAAAAAACAAAGGTTAAAACATAAATAGGCCAATATTTGACAATACAATACAATACATTTTTGAAACCATGCATCGATCAATGTTAGACCACCATTAGAAACCTGGAAGCACTGGACGGCCGTTTCGTCCTGGTATGGGACTACTCCTCAGCAGTGCGCAACCACGACTCCTGCACCCCGAACCCAGGACCTTCGGTATTGTGCGCGAACGCCTAACCATCGGACCAATGAGTCGGCATCTAATGGTGTTAATGTCTAACTTGATCAAATTCACAGTGTTGCGCAACCTCATACAGAGTCTTCGGTAGTTACTGTCTACACTCGAACAGGTTGGACTTCACTTGTCACGTCTTCGCACTTGAACTCGGAGAAGATTCCTCACGAAGCTAGTAACTAGTGAGCACAGGTAATTTGCATTACGGGGTTGCGAAGATAGTTAAGTTACACATTTTTGAAACCATGAAATACACTATACGATAATACAATGTTCAGTTAGTCATGAATAATACTTTTAGTAATCAGATTATAGTTTGTGTTATTATTTGCTATTCATTGCTTGATATAGACAGACAGATACAACGCTGAACTTCGTACGTAAGTGTATATCAGTTCAGGTTGCCATACTACATCAGCACACAGACACAACTGTCAGTCCAAATCGAAGAGCGGTAGTGATAGTAGAAGTATTAGCAGTAATGGAGAAGATTAAGGAGCGAAGATATGATTCGAGAAGTAAAATTCAGTGAGATAAATTTAGAAAGTGAAAGACAGAGGTGATGAGAAATCCAGAAGATTGGGATTTGAGAGAATACAAAGAGTGGATGCACCTGCGCCATTGCAAACAATTCTGAGCCACGTCGTTCAAGGTACTTGATATTACTGATATTATCTACCATCTAATGGATTTAGGCAAATTCAAGTGATCAGGCTTTATCCGAAATACACAACCCTAACTAGTTTATCGCAACAACATCATGCTTAACTTATTCATAGGATGATCGTTTCAACTGATGATGAGAATGTATTGAAAAGATTCATTCTTTGCGGGGTTGTTGTGAAGATTGTTAAGTTTTTATTTGTAACCATGAATCGATCAATGTTAGATTTGATCACAGTTAGTCATTAACGCCGTTAGATACCGGCTCAGTGGTCTAACGGTTAGGGCGTTCGCGTAAAATACCGAAGGCTCTGGGTTCGAATCCTGCGGGGTGCACGAGTCGTGGATGCGCACTGCTGATGAGTCCCATGCCAGGACGAAATGGCCGTCCAGTGCTTCCAGGTTTCTAATGGTGGTCTAACATTGATCGATTCATGGTTACGAGTAAGAAGATTCATTCTTTGTTCATACATCTGTCATCATATGTGTAGTTGTTCAGTAAAAAAATAATAATAATAATAATTTATTCTACTCGAAATAAATGCACATACACCTGATGATAAGTAAGAAGTATTTTATCATCTTACTTATTCCTTAATTCCTTATCATTTAAATTACTGACTATAATGATCTATGATGGTGTGATTAGTCAACATATATATATCTGACTTCATGACAACAATATCAGACTAGAGAAAACCAAGCTGGTTTTCGACCCGGACGCGGGTTTCATTGACCACATTTTCACACTACGACAGGTCCTGGAACACAGACACACATTTAGACGTCCAACAATAATCGTGTTCCTGGACCTAAAAGCGGCATTCGACTCAGTGGATTGTGAGGTTCTGTCGCAGTGTCTATCATTGAAAGGTGTACCAAAGAAGTACATTAACCTTATACAAGCTCTCTACTCGAACACTACTGGTCGAGTGAGAGCTCATCAGGAACTGTCATCGGAATTCTCTACATCAAGTGGTGTCCGTCAGGGATGACCACTCTCTCCATTCTTGTTTAACTTTGTCGTAGACATCCTCTTAGAGTTAACATTAAGATCGTCAGATTTTTCAGGGGTTGACCTTCTACCAGGAAAGTCGCTTACTGATCTAGAATAAGCCGATGACATAGTTCTATTTGGTGAAGACGCTGACAAAATGCAGAGTCTTCTGACTACCATAAGCAACAATGCGAGCATGTTCGGGATGCGGTTTTCCCCATCGAAATGCAAAATGTTGCTTCAAGACTGGGTTGCTTCGGCACCTGAACTAGTGATAGGGAGCGCAGTAGTCGAGCGTGTTGATCACTTCACTTATCTGGGGAGTTTTGTCAGCGCTGATAGCTTGGTGACTGACGAAATCTCAGCGCGGATACAGAAAGAACGATTGGCTTTTGCCAACCTGCGTCACTTATGGCGTAGGCGAGATATCCGTTCGCTGACCAAAGGACGGGTGTACTACGCAGCAGTTTGCTCCGTTCTGCTACACGGATGCGAAACATGGCCAGTGAGAGTAGAAGATGTTCGTAGGTTACTACTATTCGATCATAGATGTTTAAGAAGCATTGCTCATGTATCGTGGGACACCCCAGTGAACAATGCTGTCGTTGGGAAACCGGTGCTAGGTAATGATGGCAGATCAATAGATGAAGTGGTGAAACTTTATCGGTTGAGGTGGTTGGGACATGTGTTGCGTATGCCGAACCACCAACTGCCTCGACGAGCTATGTTTTGTGGTGTAGGTTGGAAGAAAGACCAAAACATGGTACAAATCCATGAAGTCACTGACAAGTAGACTGAGTCATGTTGGTAGATGTAGACTACCTGGTTGGGGTCCGCGAGACGAAAGTCATCAATGGTTAGAGACCTTGAACGACATGGCTCAAAATCGTTTGCGAAGGCGCAAGTGCATCCACTCGTTGTGTTCTCCCAAATCCTAATCTTCTGGATTCGTCAACACCTCTACCTTTGTCTTTCTAACCTTATCTCACTGAATTATATTTCTTGAATAATATCTTCAAAGCCTAGTCGTCTTCTTCATTACCATTAATACCTCTACTATCTTTATCACTATGAGATTTGATTTGACATTTGCGTCTCTGTGCTCATGTGGTATGGCAACATGAACCTATGTACATACGTACGAAGTTCTTACGTTGCAACTGACTGGTTCTAAATCGATATTAGGCGTTTTATAGCATGAGATCACGTCTGAAATAGAAACGATAAAATCTAAACAAACAGTGCATGCTTTCGAACATGTAATTGATGAAACGTATCCGACGGTATTGAAATAAGCGCTGTAACATTTTTTCAATATTCAATAGATGTAGTTAATTTTTCCATTCACTTTGAGAGTTACAGCGATATATAATTAAGTATTACTAAAAGTTTTTTCTTTTGAAAAAAACCCAGCTAGAATTACTCATAGCTGCCTCTATATTATGGACATACTATAGATGAAAATCATGAAATACAGTGAAAGTTATTAGTTAAAAATTAAATCTCTAATTAAGATCACTAACACTTACATATCGGGTACCGAGAGAATAAACGAATCGAAAAATAACTGAGTCTTTAGAACAACAGACAGTGATTAGTTATTGATTTGTTTTATTTAAACACAATAAACATTAGTACTCCACCAGGATTCTGGAGTCTGTGTACACCATAGATGGATTATACATATCCACCAACCCGGTCTAACTACTGGGCACTTGCATTTCATCCTCTCAATTCGGTAAACAACAACCTTTGCCATGAGAAGGCAGTAAGATTTGATTGACAGTGACCATACACGCCTGGCTCTATGTGAGAGGCAATGGGAGAAGCAGAGAGGATTCTCATCACTCTCAACCGCAACTAAGGCATTTGAGCCTGATAATATAATATCAGTGACAATGAGAGAGACTAAGAACTGTGATTAAAGAGAATGCTGAAAATCTACAATCAAGTACACATGCATCTTAGCAATTGTGAATGATTTCAAGTTATGATGCTACACCCAAAATATTCAATCACTTATCAGTGTTTGCAATCTGACCCTGACTACATAATTTGCATTGACCAATATGACTCAGACCAACAACCAGTGACTTTATTATAATAGAATGATTTCATATCTTAGTTTGGTCGGCCCCAACTTTATTCAAACCTGATCTTACTCGGGCATTGAAAACATTGAGAATTAAAAACAACAAACTTCAGTAATGTCATACATACACTATGAAAAAAAAATCATTAACAAAAGTCTAGTGTGAACTGAAAAGAACATGATAGAAATGATAAGTTTTGTTTTGAACGTCGTTTTTATTATTTGTCAAACTTTTTTTTTAATAGACCATTTAGACTTGAATCCATTAATAAATAACAAAACCAAACAATTGTGTTTTATAAAGTCAGTCAGTCAGTTACAACACAGAACTTCGTATGTTAGTACATCAGTTCATGTTGCCATACCACATCATTTGCACACAGAGACGTAACTGTCAGTTCAAATCCAAGAGTGATAGCGACAGTAAAAGTATTAGCAGTAATGGAGAAGATTAGGGAGCGAAGATATGATTCGAAAAGCATGATTCAGTGAGATAAGTTTAGAAGGACAAAGGTAGAGGTGCTGACGAATCCAGAAGATTAGGATTTGAGAGAACACAAAAGAGTGGATGCACCTGTACCATTGCAAACGACTTCGAGCCATGTCGTTCAAGGTCTCTAACCATCGGTTGCTATCGTCACGCGGACCCTAACCAGGTAGTCGACATCTACCAACATGACTCAGTCCACTTGTCACTGATTTCATGGATTTGTGTCATCTTTCGGTTTGGTCACCCCCAGCTTTCACTCAACCCAATCCTACACCACAAAACATAGCTCATCAAGGCAGTCGGTGGTTAGGCATACTCAGCACATGTCACAACCACCTCAATTGATGAAGTTTCACTACTTCATTTATTGATCTGCCATCCTTACTTAGTACTCGTTTCCTAACGACAGCATTGCCTACTCGGTTGTCCCACGATATACGAGCAATGCTTCGGAGATATCTATGATCGAATACTAGCAAACTACGAATATCTTCTACTCTCACTGGCCATGTTTCGCATCCATATAGGAGAACGAAGTGAACTGCTGCACAGTATACTCGGCCTTTGGCTAGCAAACGGATATCTCGCCTACGCCAAAGACTGGACAGTGGTATTTAAAGAACAAGAAAGGTACACTGAAAAAAGAAACTATTTATTCATTGATTTATTTCACATATATTAATTCTAACACCAAAAAATTATGAGAGCCGAAAAAATTGTAAATATATTTTGAAGTAGAAAGAGGGCTGCAAAGTTGATTAACTGAAAAAAAAATGGTGACTTAATAAGTGATAAAGTTAAGTTGAAATTCCAGTTAAGAAAAACTACTTTCAACTAGAATAGAAGTTCACCACACTTTCCTTAAAGAGGGTAATGGAAAATTGAAGCAACATACCTACTTGCTTTTTTATTCTGTTTTTTTTAATTTCTTATGATGAATCAAGTCACACAGTTGCAATGTCTTCAGTCAGTCAGTCAGATGCAACGTAGAACTTCGTACGTAAGTACATCAGTTCATGTTGCCATACCACATCAGCACAGAGAGATGCTGTTGTCAATTCAAATCCAATAGTTGTAGAGGTAGTAAAGGTATTAGAAGTAATCGGAGAGGTTAGGATTACAAGATATTATTCAAGAAGTATGATTCAATGAGAAAAGTTTAGAAAGTCAAAACTAGAGGTGTTGAAGAATCCAGAAGATTAGAATTTGGGAGAAAACAAAGAATAAATGCACCTGCACCATTGGAAACGGTTTAAAGCCATGTCTTGTGGGGTCTCTAACCATAGATCACTATCATCTCGCGGACTCCAATCAGGTAGTCGGCAACTACCGACATGGCTCAGTCCACTTGTCAGTGACTTCACGGATTTCTGCCATGTTTTGGCACTGTCATCATGAACTAACAAATGTCAGTCCTATATAGTGACCATATGAAACTTGGTGCCCTCTCAAGAATTGAAACTTCAAACTAGTATCAACATAAGAAAACAGTGCACGGTGTGGAGGCCACTAGGGTGATAATTCATGAAGCATAACTAGATGAAGACTCACATCATTTTCGCTTCGTGTTCCTGTGGCTTTGTGAATTGTGTGTAGTGCCATGATAAACGTAATCACAATGCTTCGTATTCGCCTTTTGATTTATACATTGTTTGGCGTTATCTAGTAACGGTTATCAGGATGAACACTCTACGAAATCTAAGAATATATCAAATACTAACAACCACAGCCTATTTGATCTTGATCTAATCTTTCACACTATACCATGTGCTGGATTGTTTAACTCTCAACCAATCAAATCAAGAAATACACATACACTGATGTATACCCCTGATTGAGGCCGATTATTATTTCACAGCATTCCGTAATATAATTACAAGAGATTGACTTTTGAACTAGAGGTGAACAAAAGGCATACAATTCTCTCTCACACACACACACAATTAACACTTATTTTTAAAATACTTAATTGTGTATATTACAATTTACGTGAAATTGAAAACTGACCATATATATGTTCGTGACATGTGGTTCATTATTGAACCAATTCACTTATACAACATACACATATCAAGTGATTAATAAGAAACTCGATTGTTTCAAAAATCTAGCTAGCATGTGTCACAAAAAAACACATGAATTTAAACTACAAAAGAGTCGATAAAGGTGTGGTGGATGCTATCCAAAAGGTGGCTAATATATAGTATTCAGCGGTGCGTCACTTAGAAGATTCTACCAAAGAGAAAACAATGTCAGGCGATCAAAGTGCACGGCATGATCCGAGTATGTAGAAGACCAGAAGAGGAGTGATAAAATATATAGTTAATAACTTGTTTGGATTGAAAGCACATGACTGAAGACTATGCGCACATATATTTCATAAACAAATTATCTTCTCCAAATATATATCAGTCAGTTGCAACGTAAGAACTTCGTACGTATGTACATAAGTTCATGTTGCCGTACCACATTAGCACAGAGACACGAATGTCAAATCAAAACCCATAGTGATAAAGATAATAGAGGTCTTAATGGTAATGAAGAAGACTATGGTTCAAAGATATTATTCAAGAAGTATAATTCAGTGAGATAAGGTTAGAAAGTCAAAACTAGAGGGGTTAAATAAACCAGAAGATTAGGATTTGAGAGAGCTCAACGAATGGATGCACCGGCGCCATTACAAACGATTTTGAGCCATGTCATTCAGGGTCTCTAACCATCGATTATTATCATCTCGCGGACCCCAATCAGGTAGACGACAATAACCGACATGGCTAAGTCCGTTCGTCAATGATTTCATGTATTTCTGCCATGTTTTGGTTTGGCCGCCCCTAACTTTCTTCCAACCTGCTCCTACACCACAAAACATAGCTCGTCGAGGCAGTCGGTGGTTAGCCATACGTAACACATGTCCCAACCAGCGAACGGATATATCGCCTACACCATAAGTGACGCAGGTTGGCAAAAACCAATCGATTCTTCTGTATACGTGCTGAGATTTCGTCATTCACCAGGCCATCGGCACTCATGAGACTCCCCAGATAAGTGAAGCGGTCTACACGTTCGACTACTTCACTCCCTATCACCAGTTCAGGTGCTGATGAAACCCAGTCTTGAAGCAACATTTTGCATATCGAGGGAAAAAACCGCATCCCGAACATGCTTGCATTGTTGCTTATGGTAGTCAGAAGACTCTGCATTTTGTCAGCGTCTTCACCGAATAGAACTATGTCATCGGCATATTCTAGATCAGTAAGCGAATTTCCTGGTATATATATATATATATATATATATATATATATATATATATTCCACTTGATTTTAGCTAATTTGTACATAACACAGAATCGTGAAAATTGTTGAGTTTCATTGACATCATGAAATGGCCTAACGTGCTGAATCCGATTCCCAAGTGCGGAATTGTGGATGCGCACGTACGAAGTTCTACGATGTAACTGACTGATCGATATGTGTAATTCGCTTACCACGCCATGTGAGCAGCAAAAGACATTATATTAGGAAAAGTCGCAGAGCAGTATAGGTAATAAAAGTATCACAGGTACTAGAAAAAATTAAACATACATAAAGAAAGGGAGAGTAGGGGGTAAAAGGTGAAAAATTATTTGAAAACTTAATATTTAAGTGTCTGTACCATTAAAAACAATTTTTAGTCATATCACCAAACATTTACAAATATTGCGTTGCGATAACCACGAGGACAGAAATCTGATAGTCTGCACCTACTTACACAGCTCAGTCCAACAGTCACTGACCTTATAAACTGGTATCGTATCATGATTTGGCCACCCCTAGACTTCTAAACTATTCATGCAGTACATCTCTCAGTCCATAAAAATTCACACTACACATGAGATAGGATTTGAACCTGATACTAATTGATTAGAAAGCATGTTTTATACAGCTATAATCTATGGATCCTGTTGCAACGTCGAAGCTGTAAAACATAAATACCCGTTAAAATAAAAATCATACCGGTTAAATTAACTAAATAAACATGACTAGAACTATAAACTTGTATTTGTTGGCAGGACTATTGTACGCTTAAGCCAAAATATATTGATTGGTTCATTTTCAATCAAGCAATAGAGTAAATGGATAGATTGAGGTACTAGAAAATGTTCATGTAAATTCTGTATACACACATTAATATGTTTTAACTACTACATCTTTAATTTTTTTTTAGTTTATTGAGAATTATAAATTACCAAGTAGGAAGAGCAGAATGAAGTACAGTGCCCTACAAATACATAACACTGAAAGCAGAATAACAGTTTTAAATCACCCTACCCATAACAGCTCACGAGACCAAATTTGTGACAATCGAATCCTTCCCACGGCCCCTAACATATCTCTTATCTCCACGACTCACCCTTTTGACATCCCTTTACCGCGCTGCACTGCTAACGCAAGCGATCCGAGTTCACGAAACGTTATTCCTGGTCTCCTGAAACCTCACACCAAACTACATGTTGGAGCATTTAATGTCCAGACATTGTGTCAAATAGTGCAACAGGCTTCCTTAGCCAAGACTTTAGAATCTCGCGCCATCGATGTATACAGGATCCGCGTAGCGTCAAACATTTGACCTCACCCTATTCTAAGTTAGTTTACAACAACATAGAAGTTCGTACGTAAGCACATCAGTTCAAGTTGCCATACCACATTAGCACAGAGATGCAATTGTCATTTCGAATCCCATGGTAGTAGAGGTAGTGAAAGTATTAGAAATTAATCGGAGAGATTAAGGTTCGGAGATATTATTCAAGAAGTAGAATCTTGTGAAATAAACTTAAAAATATAAAAGAATGAGGTATTCAGAAAGTTAGAATTTGAGAGAATACAAAGAATAAATGCACAAGCACCATTGCGAACGGTTTGGAGCCATGTCATTTAGGGTCTCTAACCATCGATTATTGTCATCTCGCAGACTCCGATCAGGTAGTCGATAGCTACCAACATGACTCAATCCAGTAGTCAGTGACTTTTATGGATTTCTGCCATCTTCTGATTTGGAGTCAGATGATTGAACATACATGAAAAAAAGTGAGAATATTCATTGAAAAATGAAATCAGAGTTTTATAATCAAAGAAAAAAACGATTCGACATACTCGTTGAATCATCTTCTCTATACGTCCTTGCATTCCCCACATTTTGAATTCACAAGAAACAAGTTTGTATGCACACATAATTGGTCCTTTATAATCATTCTGTAAATGAAAAGTAGAATGAAACAATCAAAATCGAGATAGAAAATTAGAGCAGGTTCTTGGTTTATAGTTAGAACCATACATAATGATAAAATGCTAGCAATAAACTATCAGCTTTAGAATTTAAAATGGAACAATCTTTCACAATGTCTAGTTAAGGCTGCTATCAACATATATTTTTTTGGAATACTACTGTCGAGTGTTACAACTTACTCTAAGAGGGACTTGTTGACACATATTACTTAAAAAGTTGAAGAGCAATGTCATATTTGTTATCATTTGAAATTTCGACTCGGTTTCATAACATATCAGCTCATTGTGAAAAATTAGAACAACACATATAAGCGAACGATAGTGTTGTTTCCGATTAGATCGTCATCAGGCTTTAATATACTCTAATATTGAAGCTTATAATTTAGACAAAACATAAGAAGTGAATGCATCTATGCCATACTCTGTGACAGATTATTATTTTCTATCGTCTAGATTCTCTAACCAGTGAGAGCTTATGGCGAACTGTCATCGGAATACATTACTACAAGCGGTATCCGTCAGGGCTGTCCACTCTCTCCATTCTTGTTTAATTTTATCATAGACATGCTCCTAGATATAACCTTATCCACGTCTGAATTTTCAGAAGGCTCGCTTATTGACTTAGAATTTGCGATGACATAGTCCTATTTGGTGAAGACGATGACAAAATGCAGAGTTTTCCGACCACCCTGAGAAACAATGCAAGCGTATTCAAGATGCGGTTTCGCCCTCAAAATGCAAAATGTTGCTTCAGGATTAGCTTGCATCGGCACCCGAACTAGTGATAGGGAATGAAGTAGTCGAGCGTGTAGATCGCTTCACTTATCTCGGAAGTCTCATCAGTGCTGATGGCCTGATGACTGTCGAAATCTCAGCACGGATACAGAAAGCTCGACTGGCTTTTGCCAACCTGCGTCACTTATGGCGTAGGTGAGATATCCGTTTGCTAACCAAAGGACGAGTCTACTGTGCAGTAGTTCGCTCCGTCTTACTTTATGGCTGTGAAACATGGCCAGTGAGAGTAGAAGATATACGTAGGTTACTGGTTTTCGATCATAGGTGTCTTCCAAGCATTGCTCATATATCCTGGGACACCCGAGTGAGCAACGCCGTCATTAGGAAACGGGTGCTAGGTAAGGATGGAAGGTCAATAGATGAAGTAATGAAACTTCATCAGTTGAGGTGGTTGCGACATGTGGTGAGTATGCCTAACCACCGACTGCCTCGTCGAGCTATACTCTGCGATGTAAGAATAGCTTGGACGAAGGCTAGGGGCGGCCAGACCAAAACATGGCAGAAATCCATCAAGTCAGTGACAAGTGGACTGAGTCATGTCGGTGGTTGTCGACTACCTGGCTTGCGTCCGCGAGATGATAGTAATCGATGGTTAGAGACCCTGAATGACAGCTCAAAACCGTTTGCAATGGCGCCGGTGCATTTATTCTTTGTTTTCTCCCAAATTCTAATCTTCTGGATTCTTCAACACCTCTAGCTTTGATTTTCTAAACTTTTCTCACTGAATCATACTTCTTGAATGATATCTTCTAATCCTATATCTCCGATTATTTCTAATAACTTTACTACCTCTACTACTATTGGATTTGAATTGACAATAACATCTCTGTGCTGATGTGGTATGGCAACATGAACTGATGTACTGACGTACGAAGTTCTGCGTTTCACCTGATTGACTTTAACCAATGATTGTGGTCATCTCACACGGAACCCAAGCACATGGCTTAGTTTAACACAGTACAAAGATTTCACAGGCTAATGCTAAAATCTTAATTTGATCGCTTGAAAACGAGTTACATTCATGTCCAATGTTGTTTACTAAAAAAATGCTAAACAGCATAGCGATCCATATATATATCAATATACAAACACATGGTGTGGTGCGCGCTACTTATAAGTAGTATATGACGCGAGTGTCAACGTAATGTCTGGCAGCAGAAGATGGGGGAAGATCAAGAAAGGAAGAGTTAGAACACATTGGAATTTGTATGAAACGCATGAATAGTTAAATGTCAGACAATGGATTGAAGATTTGCAAATTAATGGTTTACGATATGGTTTTCCTATTTTACTGAGTAACTTACTGAGTAATTTTCGTTAAATACAATTCGGTTGGCCTCACCTGTGTTTTCCTTCACTACAATAGTTATATCACATCTTAGTCAAAACTGTCTGTTATTTGATATGCATGCATCAAAAGCCCCGGCTAAATGTGTAACTCCATTGTTATTTAAACATAACAATTACTATTATCTTTATAGTGATATTTTATTTCACTTATCATCAATTTAGAAGTTCATTTAGTAAAGTAATCTATCATTATTATTATTGTTACTATTATTATTAACCAATTAGAAAGTGAATAATGATAGCGAAAATTTATGAAACTAGTGTAACACATCATCATTATCATCACATGACCTTGAGATATCTTTTCTCAGTTTGACCTAACTACAATTAAAACATAACAACAACAACATTTGACATTGAATACACTAAATAATATGAATTCATTTCAAAGAGAAAAAAAAACAAATGGACATGTTAGGAATTATAGTCATTCATATTTATAATATAATCATTGATTCTCACAATAGTTCAAAGATATATATATATATATATATATATATATATATATATATATATATATATATATATATATATATATTAGTTATAACTAAAGATAATCATAAACTTGATAATATGTATATATTAGAATGAAGAATTTTTGTGTTTCATTGTTTAAATTTAACTGATAACACAGAGATATCAATGGAAAAAAGTTCAGGTGTTATTTTGTTAAAAATTATGCACTGGAAAAAACAATTACTCATATGAATATATGATGAAAAGTGGAAATATTTTAACTCTCTCTCTCTCACACACACACAGAGTGAGTGAGTGAGAGATGTATTCAGTCAATATTACAATGTAAAGCTTGGCAAAGATGTGCGCATTCACCCATATTGTCGTACCGACATTATCCAGATGAATTGCAAAACAGATTGGAAATGATTGAATAATAATAATAATAAATGAGAAAGATATCTACAACTTAAAATCTACAGGATGATAAAAAAGAACAATGAATGTAGAGCGATGTTATTTAAATTCTTCAATCACTGATTGCTTGTTGCTGTATGTTGATTCAGTCAGTCAGTCAGATGCAACGTAGAACTTCGTACATAAGTACATCAGTTCATGTTGCCATACCACATCATTATCACAGAGATGTAATTGTCAATTCAAATCCAAAAGTAGAAGAGGTAGTAAAGGTAGTAGAAGTAGTCGGAGAGGTTAGGATTAGAAGATATTATTCAGGAAGTATGATTCAATGAGATAAGTTTAGAAAGTTGAAGAATCCAGAAGATTAGGATTTCAAAGAACACAAAGAATGCACTGGCGCCATTGCGAACGATTTTCAGCCATGTCATTCAAGGTCTCTAACCATCGATTATTGTCATCTCGCGGATCCCAACCAGGTAGTCGAAAATTACCGACATGGGTAAGTTCATTCATCAATGATTTCATGGATTTCTGCCATGTTTTGGTTTGGCCGCTCCTAGCTTTCGTCCAACCTACTCCTACACTACAAAACAAAGCTCTTCGAGGTAGTCGGTGGTTAAGCATACACAACACATGTCCCAACCACCTCTACTGATGAAGTTTCAGCACTTCATCTGTTGGTCTGCCATTCTTACCTAGCACCCGATTCCTAATGACAGCGTTGCTCACTCGGGTGTCCCAAGATATACGAGCAATGCTTCGGAGACACCCATGATGAAAAACCAGTAACCTACGAATATCTTCTACTCTCACTGGCCATGTTTCACAGCCATAAAGTAAGACGAAGCGAACCACTGCACAGTACACTCGTCCTTTAGTCAGTAAACGGATATCTCGCCTACGCCATAAGTGACGCAGGTCGGCAAAAGCCAATCGAGCTTTCTGTATCCGAGCTGAGATTTCGTCAGTCACAGCTCGGATACATTATTAATAATAATAATAATAATAATAATAATTATTATTATTATTATTATTATTATTATTATTATTAATTGACGTATTTATGGTGAATGTTGAAAATATAGCTGAAGACAACAGGATTGGAAATATATCCTTTTATAAGAAATATATGGATGACATATGAATTGTTCATTGAATAAACAACCTTAAACACTTCGAAACCATATGAGTTTTTCATGTGAAGAAAAGAACAACCGGTTTTTCTTTCTTAAATAAATAGACTTATAGACCACCAATGGAGATAATTCAATCAAACGATCTATTTTTAGAAAACCAATTTGAACAGACCAGTCAGTACCTTAGTCAATATAGTTATTGATTAGTTTGATGACAGTTCTGCTTATAATAGGGATCGATCAAGGTTTGTACAAACGATGCTGCTTGAAAACAACATGAATTTTTTAAATAAAATATTGACAGGTAATTATTACCCTTCAAGATTCATAAATCGATGGAAATGTCACAGTATATCTAGCAAATCATAAGCCTGTCCACATATCATCCTACCTTTCAGATGTAAGTCAAATAACCTCATATTGGAACAAAAGCTCAAATCTGTCATTAGTACAACGTACTGTGGAGCAAAGGTCATGCATGCTTCACTGAAAACTTAAAACGCAAGTAAACGATTGTATCATCATGCTTCACTGTGCTTATCAATTTAAATGTGTAGATGACCAAATACACAGGAAAGAGTAATCGTGATGTGTAAATGAAAGTGTCTAATCATGTACTAAAATGGTGATAAAAAAGGGAATAAAATCAAATCATCCAATAAAAAGAGGATAAACACTCCATGGCTCTCTGTTTATTGTTCAAGGGTGTATAATACTAAAGTTTTCTGAAGCCTTAGCGACTCGGAAACTTAAACTTCCTTGTTGTATTCAAAAAGTTTGTTCTCATCGTAAACCTACCTTGGTAATATTGTTTTATTATCCAGTGTGGTGAGTATCACATTATTCTTTGAAACCATGAATCGATCAATGTTAGACGACCAGTAGAAACCTGGAAGCACTGGAGGGCCGTTTCTTCCTGGTATGGGACTCATCAGCAGTGCGTATCCACGACTCCTGCACCCCACAGGTTAGGCATTCGTGCACAATACCGAAGGTTCTGGGTTCTAATCCTGCGGGGTGCAGATGTCGTGGATGCGCACTGCTGATGAGTCCCATACCAGGAAGAAACGGCCCTCCAGTGCTTCCAGGTTTCTACTGGTCGTCTAACATTGACCGATTCATAGTTTCAAAAGTATATATATATATATATATATATATATATATATATATATATATATATAAACCGCGATAATACAGCGGTGACTTAATGAGTGAGTAATTAATCATTAAGGACTACTGAGTCAAAAACCTGAACTTAGCTTTGGTTTTAACTGTTAGAAAGAAGTACCATTAGCTCTTACACAATATAAGCTTAGACCTATGTATTGAGTTACTGAGTTACGCTAAATTTTCATCTTCCTAGGTAGCATAGTCAGTCAGTCAGTCAGATGCAACGTAGAACTTCGTACGTAAGTACATCAGTTCATGTTGCCATACCACATCAGCACACAGATATAATTGTCAATTCAAATCCAATAGTAGTAGAGGTAGTAAGGGAATTAGAAGTAATCGGAGAGGTTAGGATTAGAAGATATTATTCAATAAGTATGATTCAGTGAGAAAAGTTTAGAAAGTCAAAACTAGAGGTGTTGAACAATCCAGAAGATTAAGATTTGAGAGAACACAAAGAATAAATGCACCGGCGCCATTGCAAACGATTTTGAGCCATGTCATTCAAGGTCTCTAACCATCGATTACTATAATCTCGCGGACGCAAGCCAGGTAGTCGACAACTACCGACATGGCTCAGTCCATTTGTCACTGACTTGATGGATTTCTGCCATGTTTTGGTCTGGCCGCCCCTAACTTTCTTCCAACCTACTCCTACACTACAAAACAAAGTTCGTCGAGGCATAAGCATAAGCATAAGCAACGAATTGTATTTTGTTGACTACAAATTGGTTGTATCCAACAGAGTTGTAAAAATGGAATGTGATTGTCAAAGGAAACATGATCAAACAACTTATGGTACTATGATAGTATCTTTAACCTTAGCCTTGTCTACTTGCATCTTTATAAAATGATAGTTTAGTTGGAAATACCACCCAAAGATAGAACATCTCGTGGTTGAAAAACGATGGGTACATGTTACACGTTACGTCACAGCGTGTATATGACACAAAAGAAACCAAGATAAAGTTAGGTGAAAAAACAAACAAATGAATCTCTCTCTCTCTCTCTCTCTCTCTCTCTCTCTCTCTCTATATATATATATATATATATATATATATATATATAAATTAAAAGACTCCATAGATAAATTACCTCCCACCATTTTGGTTTTAAAGGACCACGACCAGTCTTTTCAGATTGAAATGTTGTCGGATCTTCAGTTGGATTGTAATCTTTATCTGATGGAGAAATATCACCAATATCAATATAGATCACTTCAACTTCCGCCCATTTTTCTGGACTTAACTGATGTGCCTAGTAACCGAAAAGACATGGAAATTATTGTAAACAACGAGGAATTCAATATAGAATTCGAAAAATCATTAAAATTTGTGAGAAACCAGTCAGTCAGTTACAATGTAGAAGTTTAGGTTGCCGTACCACATTAGCACAAAGATTCAAATGTCATTTCCAATCATATAATAGTAGAGGTAGTAGAAGTATTAATGATAATAGAGAAGATTAGGATTCGAAGATATGATTCAAGAAATATAATTCAGTATTGCGAACGACTTTGAGCCATGTCGTTGAAGGTCTCTAACTATCGGTCACTTTCATCTCACGGAACCCAACTAGGGAGTTTACACCTACTAACATGACTCAGTTCACTTGTCAGTGGCTCCACGGATTTCTGCCATCTTTTGGTTTGGTCGCCCCTACCTTTCTTCCAACCTACTCATACACCAAAAAACGTCACTCGTCGAAGCAGTCGGTGATTGGGCATTCGTTACACGTGTCCCAACCACCTCAACTGATCAAGTTCCGATACTTTATCTATTGATTTGCTATCCCTACCTAGTACTCGTTTCCTAACGACAGCATTGCTTATTCAGTCAGTCAGTTGCAACGTAGAACTTCGTTCGTATGTACATAAGTTCATGTTGCCATACCACATTATCTA